GTCCAACCTCAAAATCAAGATCACTAAAAGGTGGTAAATTATGCACATCATAACACTACTTCATATTGAGATGTAGTGGCAGTGGCTCTAACTCATGAGTTGATGGTTACTTACTTATAGGTGGTGGAGTTGGATTACCTTGATCTTTATCAGCTAAATCCACTCTATAGCAATGAGCTGTGGTTGAAGGACTCTTAGTTGCATTGAAAATAGTAAATTCAACTACCTTCTCTCAAACTTTGAAAGTTATTCTGTCTTCTTTTACATCTATTAGTGCACCTGCAGTGGCTAAGAATGGACGTCTTAGTATGATTGAAACCTCTTGATCCTCTTTTATCTCAAGTACTATGAAGTCTACTAGAATGAACAGTTTCTCAACTTTAAGAAAGACATCCTCTATCACCCCACATGGGTGTCTTATCATTCTGTCAACTAGTTGCAAGGTGATTGTAGTGAATTGAATCTCTTTCAGTCTAATTCTTGTAGTAATAAACAAAGGCATAATTGAGACACCAACACCTAAATCACACAAAGCTTTTGAAAACTAAATTTACCAATTGAGCAAGGGATAAAAAAACTCCTTGGGTCCTTAGGTTTTGGTGAAAGCTTATTCTGAATTATTGCACTACACTCCTCAACGAGTGTAATTGTCTCAAAGTCCTCCAGTTTCTTTTTCTTTGTCAATATGTCCTTTAAAAACTTCACATATGATGGCATTTGCTTTAAACCTTATGCAAAAGGAATGTTAATGTGAAGCTTTTTGAATACGTCAAGAGATTTTAGGAAGTGATTATCAAGTTTTTGTTTTTGAAGGTGCTGAGGAAAAGGTGGTGGTGGTAAAGTTGCCTTTGCTTCCTTCTCTTGACTTTACTTGTCAACTGTCTCAATCATCCTTTTATTCTCAATAGGCTCATCTTGAAAATTAGCTTGCCTAACACTATTTAACCTATTTTCCACTCCTCAAGGTGATTGCCATAACTTGTTCCTTACCTTCTCTCCTCGGATTCACCTCTGTATCACTAAGTAATGTTCCTTGAGGTCAGTTGTTTAATAAATTGGCAAGTTGACCAACCTGAGTCTCAAGGTTTTGAATTGATGTTGCTTGACTCTGAATAAGAGCTATTTGACTTTGTATAATGTTATCCTTTTGTGCCATTTACTACCTTAGTAGATTTTCCATAACTGGCTTTTTTTCTGAAATAGGTGAGCCAATTTGTTGGTGAAATGCTAGAGGTGCATTTGGCCTTGGAGTTAAGGATGAATCTTGATTATTAGCCCAAGAAAAACTGGAATGATTGCTCCACCCTAGGTTGTAAGTGTTGGAGTATGGGTTATTTTGCTATCTATTATGCATAAATTGCACTACCTCTATTGAGTTTGGACACTGATGACTTGCATGATCATCTCCACATAACTTGCAAGCTTTGGATTCCAGGACATTGATGACTTGCATGATTATCTTCCAATTAATCCATAAGAAGGATTGAGATCATTAAGTAAGTAACTATCATTTAAAGCTAACTTAAGATTTTTTTCAATGGGAAAGTGCATCAACTTGGAAGCAAGCATACCTGCTTCTCGTAAAATATCCAATGTATATTTTTACTGAAACAATGCAATGTTGTTGCGATAGTGAGTAACTTCTAATCCTAGAAAATATTTAAGGCTACCAAGATTTTTGATGGGGAACCAAGCTATTAAAGATTGCTTGAGAGCTTCTGTATGTGAGGTGTCATTGGTGGTAATAATGACATCATCCACATAAACAAGAATGGTAGTAAATGAAGTGACCTTTTGATGCCAAAATAGAGAAGTATCAGCTTTGGATTAAGTAAAAGCAAACTGTAGAATGGTAGTAAAAATCTAGCAAGCCATTATCTAGATGCATGCTTTAAACCAACAGAGACTTGTGAAGCTGACGGACACGATCAACACCTAGAGATAAATAACCATAGGGAGGTTTCATGTACACTTATTCATCTTAGTAACCATGAATGAATGCATTGTGTACAGTAAGTTGATGAAAAACCTAATGTTTAATAGCTGCAACTGCTAAAAGAGTGTGCATGGTGGTGAGTTTAGCAATTAGGGCAACAGTCTAATTATAATATAATCTTTCCACTTAAGTGTATCTTTTAGCTATAATGTGTGT